GTATGTATGTATGTATGTATGTATGTATGTATGTATATATGTATGTATGTTTGCATTTATGTATGCATGCATGCATGCATGCATGCATGCATGTATGTATGTATGTATGTATGTATGTATGTATGTATGCATATATGCATATATGTATGTATGTATGTATGTATGTATGTATGTATGTATGTACGTATGTGCATGTACATTACGATGGTAAGCTATGTAATTGTTATGTAGCCATATAAAGTATATGCACATATTTATTTTTCTAGGGCGCGTCTTCGGTAAAGAGAAGTATTTAAGTTGAGCAGCCCTCCGTCGCGAACAGGGGCAGCCTTCCCAGAGCCCTTGAGAGGATCCCAACAGGGGTTTAGGGTTTAGGGGACCCTAAACCCTGGAAAGGGTCATTGCACTTTAGAAAAACTTAAAACCTAGTATTTAGTAGCGGGTTCCAAATGAGGGGATCTGCTTCATAGATCCTCCTTGGTGTAGTATAGCAGCCCGAGTCAATACCCGCAAATTTTGAGCGCTTTCTTATTGGTTTTGTATTTTCCCTATAAAAGGAGCCCGCCCAAAATCCCTATTCTCATAAAAGGAGCCCGGAAATCCCTATTCTCACTATTATAAAGCCTAGATGATGTGTTCTTCAGCACTGAAGTGAACCAGGGTCTCCAGAGCCCCACCATGCAGACAATTTCAGGGTGTAGGGTTTAGGGTTTAGGCCGGATAAATGTTTAGGGATAAGGGTTTAGGGATTTGCGCTTTTGGGTTTAGGGCTTGTAGGGTTTAGACATTAGGGCTTTAGGGTTTAGGGCTTAGGGTTTACGGATTAGGGCTTTAGGGTTGAGGGCTCAGGGGGGTTTAGGGTTTAGGGATCAGGGCTTTAGGGTTGAGGGCTTGGGTTTAGGACTTGTAGGGTCTAGGGCTTAGGGCTGAGGGCTTCGCGAAACGAGACCAAGAAGACTGCCGCAGTATGGGCAAACTAAGGATCAAACTACAAGAAGGTCCCCAAAAGAAACCACCTACTTGGAGGAACCAGGTGCACGCTGATCCCTAAATCCTAAACACTACGGACGCGTAAGGGGACCTTTTACAACAGGAGACCATCAATGCTGCGGCGGAGCATCTCGCCGATATCGCCGACACTTGCCCGAAGCTTGAGAACCCAATAATAGGCACCCCCTAACTCCCCTAGCCTTAGTGATTCACTGTAGCGCCTTAGGATCGATGCTTCCTTTTCAGAAGTCCAAGAAGGGAAGCCAACTATGAGAAGACCATCGTTTCGACGACAAGCCTACTTATCTCGATAAGAGCAATGAGCCCGAAATCCCAACTCCTAAACTATGTTGAGCTCTCCTTATGCCTTATGCTTGGGTCCTGTCGTCAGAAATAGTGTGGCCAAGAGACGGAACTGGAATTGAGGATCCAGTTAAGCATTCAACCGCAATCCCCAAATCCCGAAACCCCGAAACCCTAAAACCCTAATCCCTAAACTCTAAACCCCGAAACCCGAAAGCCCTAATGCCTCGACCCTAATCGGCCCCAATCCCTAAACCCTAAACGCCGAAACCCTAAAGCCCTAATCCCTCAACCCTAAACGCCGAAACCCTAAAGCCCTAATCCCTCGACCCTAATCGGCCCCAATCCCTAAACCCTAAACCCCGAAACCCTAAAGCCGTAATCCCTGAACCCTCATCGGCCGTAATCCCTAAACCCGAACCCAGAGACTCCAATACCCCTTAATCAAGGAATATACCTTAAATTAGTTAGTGATGACCATTTCCATGTTCTAACCATGCCCACCCCCCTAGCACCCAAACCATAACAACCTATACCTCAACCTTCAACACACCGAAAGACCCAAAGGTAGAACCCTAGGAATAACTCACATGAAGACCCAAACCATAACAACCTATACCTCAACCCTAACCTCACCAAAATACCCATAGTAAGACCCACATAATGGAACCACTAGAAGAAACCATACACCACCACACAGAAAAATCCCAACCTCAAACCCATATACCAATCCCCCCATAGAAAAACCCATATTCCCCAACCCGAAATCCCTAACCCTAGAAAATGGAAATGGTCTATTCCAAAAAAGAGCTATTTTAGAAATAAGGTTTAGATTTAAGGTCGAACCGGCTAGAACGATGCTTGAAGCATAGCATGAGCTACTTGTCCAAACTCCGTTTTCAGCTTCAACTGCACCCTCACTGGAGCGTTTCTTCCTGCATCCATCTCTCAATGGCCATGAAAGCTGGCCTGGCATTTGCTTTGTTGTACAGGGCACAAAGGGCGCCATCCCAGTCTTTTCTTGCGGTCCGTCCTGACTCCCGGTGCGTCCCCACAAAGGGTCAGTCACATTTCGCAGGGCAAAGCAAAACGAACAGACGAACTGGGACTTGTGCATTCTCACCACGTTCCAGAGATGTTCGAGTTTGCAACAGTTGTGTAGTAAGGAAGAGTGTATTCAGCGGACATGTGCAGCGCGGTTTGCCAGCAGAGTTCGGACCAGGTTTGGCAGTCTCAGCGGGCACTGATCATACCTGTGCAATCCGAGCAGATGGTCAGCTCGTCTGCTTTGGACTCAATGATGATGGACAGTGTGACGTCCCGGCAGATTTGGGACCAGTTTTGGCGATCTCAACGGGCGCTTATCATACTTGTGCAATCCGAAAAGATGGTCGGCTCGTCTGCTTTGGAAACAATATGGTTGGGCAGTGTGACGTCCCGGCAGATTTGGGACTAGTTTTGGCGATCTCAGCTGGCACTGATCATTCCTGTGCAATCCGAGCAGATGGGCGGCTCGTCTGTTTTGGAAACAACATGGATGGGAAGTGTGACGTCCCGGCAGATTTGGGACCAGTTTTGGCGATCTCATCGGGCCTTGGCCATACTTGTGCAATCCGAGCAGATGGTCTGCTCGTCTGCTTTGGACAAAATACTGATAGGCGGTGTGACGTCCCGGCAGATTTGGGACCATCTTTGGCGATCTCAGCGGGCAGATATCATACTTGTGCAGTCCGAGGAGATGGTCAGCTCGTCTGCTTTGGACTCAATGATGATGGACAGTGTGACGTCCCTGCAGATTTGGGACCATCTTTGGCGATCTCAGCGGGCTTATATCATACTTGTGCAATCCGAAAAGATGGTCGGCTCGTCTGCTTTGGAAACAATATGGCTGGGCAGTGTGACGTCCCGGCAGATTTGGGACCGGTTTGGGCGATCTCAACGCGCACTTATCATACTTGTGCAGTCCGAGCAGACGGTCGGCTCGTCTGCTTCGGAAGCAATAGGGCTGGGAAGTGTGACATCCCGGCAGATTTGGGACCAGTCAGCTTGTCTGCTCGGAAACAACTCTAAAGAGTGCTTACCCTCAAACCTTCAGTAGTTCAAATCTCAGATACTGCCTACTATTGCCCTCAACTCTGTAATAGTTTTGGCCTACTTTGTTTTCAATATTTTCTATTGTATAAATATTCTCTGACCAGTTGCTCACACTTTCTTTTTCATTCGGTTTTCGCTTCCTAAATATCTTCACTTCGTCCCCTACATCTAAATCGGGATATACGCGGTTCTTCTTGCCCTTCATCGTTAAATTTAATTTCACTTTGAATTGATTACTGGGTTTTCGGGCTTCCTTCGGCGTGAATCC